CCATGCTATATGTTCTGTCACTTGTTAATGTCTTCTGCTATTTCTTTTCTCAGTGTTGCCTAATTCTGTCTGTATAGATCCTTCATGTGCTTTGTTAGGTGTATTTCCAGGTATTCAGTTTTCTTTGACGCTACTTCAAAGGGAATTGTCTTTGATTTACTTCTCAACTTGGCTGCTATTGGCCACTGATTAGTGGACATTAATTTTATACCCTGAGACATTACTGTATTTCTTGATCACTTTCGGGAGCTTTGTGGTTGAGTCCCTGGAGTCTTCTAATTATAAGATTATATCATTAGCAAAGAGCAAGAGTTTGACCTCTTTTGTCCCCATTTTAATACCTTTGATATCTTTCTCTTGCCTGATTGCATTGGCTAGAGATTCCAGCACTATGTTGAATAGCAGTGGTGATAGTGGACATCCTTGTCTGTTTCCAGTTCTAAGTGGAAATGCTTTCAGTTTACTTCATTCAGGGTGACATAGGCTGTGGGTTTGTTGTAGATGGTGCTATCAGCTTAACAAATGCCCTATCTATGCCTAATTTCTTAAGTGTTCCTGTCAAAAAAGGATGCTGAATTTTGTCAAATGCTTTTTCTGTGTCTATCAAGAAGATCCTACGGGTCTTTGCTTTTGCTTCTATTTATGTGGTGAATTACATTTATGGATTTACGTATGTTGATCCAAACTTGCATCCCTGAGATAAAGCCCATCAGATCATGAAGTATATTTTTTAATGTATAGCTATATTTTGATTGCTATGATTTTATTGAATATGTTTGCATTGATATTCATTAATAATAATGGTCTGCAGTTTTCCTTTTTTGTTGAGTCCTTTCCTGTTTTTGGTATCAGGGTAATGTTTGCTTCATAGAATGTGTTGTTGTTGGTGGTGGGGGTTATCTCCGTTCTCTATGTTTTGGAGTAGGTTCTGCAGTATAGGAAGCCCCTTCAAGCTCTTTGAAGGTTTGGTAGAATTCTGGTCCAGGACTTTTGGGGAAGATTTTATACTGTTTCAATTTTGGTGCCTGATATAGATATGTTCAAAATTTCTAATTCTTTCTTGTTGAGTTTGGGGAGGTTTTGTGATTCCAAGTATTTGTCCATTCTCTCCACATTTTCCAATTTCTGGGCATAGAGTTTTTTTTGCAGTAATCAGTGATGATCTTTTGTATCTTAGTGGTATATATTATTATTTCTTCCTTTTTCTTTTCTGATTGAGGTGATTAGAGATTTTCCTTTTCTGTTTCTAGTTAATTGGGCCAAAGTTTTATCAATTTTACTAATCTTTTCTAAGAACCAACGTTTTGTTTCACTGATCTGAATGGTTCTTTTTTTTTTTTTTTTTTTTGAGACAGAGCCTCAAGCTGTCCCCCTGGGCAGAGTGCCGTGGCATTACAGCTCACAGCAACCTCCAACTCCTAGGCTCAAGCGAGTCTCCTGCCTCCGCCTCCCAAGTAGCTGGGACCACAGGCGCCCGCCACAACGCCCGGCTATTTTTTGGTTGCAGCCGTCCTTGTTGTTTGGCGGGTCCCGGCTGGGGATTCGAACCCGCCACCTTAGGTGTACGTGGCTGGCACCTTAGCCGGTTGAGCTATAGGCGCCGAGCCAATCTGAATGGTTCTTATGTTCTCAATTTTTAAAAAAATTCTGATGTTATTTTGGCTATTTCTTTTCTCCTGATAGGTTTGGGATTAGATTGCTCTTCCTTTTCCAGCTTCTTGAGATGGCTTATTAGGTTGTTGATGTGCACTGTTTCAATTTTTTGGATGTGGACATTTAATGCAATAAATTTCCCTCTTCAGACTGCCTTTGCAGTATCCCATAGGTTTTGATAGCTTGTGGCTACATTATTGCTTTTTCTTTCAAGAAACCTAACTACTTCCTTCTTTATCTCCTTCTTTACCCAGTTGTCTTTCAGCATAAGGTTGTTTGGTTTTCATGACTTTATGTGAAGATGAAGTTTTTATTGGAGCTCTACTTTTATTTCATGGTGGTCCAAAAAAGACACAAGGTATAATTTCTATACTTTTAAATTTGCTGAGATTTGATTTTTGCTCTAAGATATAATTAATTTTGGAGGACGATCCATGGGCTGACAAGTAGAATGTATACTCAATTTTACAGGTATGGAATATTCTGTGTATGTCTATTAAGCCTATTTGTTCTAGAGTTGTTTAAGTTTATTGCTTCTTTGTTTCTGCTTGGAGGATGGATCCAGTTCTGTCAGAAGGGTGTTGACGTCCCTAGACATTATGGTATTGTAGAATATCATATTGCTCAGACCAGTTAGGGTTCATTTCTTAAACCTGGGAGCATTTAAGTTGGGTTCGGATATATTTAGGATTGAAGTGTCTACTTATATTGTTCCCTTGACCAATATATAACGACGCTCTTTGTCTTTACTTTTGCTGCTTTAAATCAACTTGAATGTGAAAATAAAATTGTGACTCCCTCCTTTCTTCTGATTTCCATTTGCCTGAAATGTTTTCCAACCCTCCACCCTGAATTTTGTTTTGCCTTTATAGGTTAGGTATATTTCCTGGCTCAGCGCCTGTGGCTCAAGTGGCTAAGGCGCCAGCCACATACACCTGAGCTGGCGGGTTCGAATCCAGCCCGGACCCGCCAAACAACAATGATGGCTGCAACCAAAAAATAGCTGGGCGTTGTGGCAGGCGCCTGTAATCCCAGCTACTTGGGAGGCGGAGGCAGGAGACTCGCTTGAGCCCAGGAGTTGCTGTGAGCTGTGATGCCATGGCACTCTACCCAGGGGGACAGCTTGAGGCTCCGTCTCAAAAAAAAAAAAAAAAAAAAAAAGATTTGCTTCCTCAAGATAGGATATAGTTTGCTTGTACTTTTTTAAAATTTCAGATTAATATGAGGGTACAAACAATTAAGTTACAACGTTACATTTGTTACATTTGTTAGGGAAGGCTCCTGTTGTAGTTATGTCCTGCACCCAGAAGGTGTGCCACACCACATACCCTTCATTGTGGCCATTAGGTGGGAGCACACCCATCTCCTTCCCTCCTGACTTGTGTTTTTTGTATTCAGTTAGCCAGTGAGGAATTGAAGCCATTCACATTTATTGATAGAATTGATAAGTATGGTGGAGTGCTATTTACCTTATTTTGTGAAGGTTGCCTGCAGAGCGGGTCTTATTGTGGTAAATTTCCTCAATGTTTGCATGTCAGTAAAATATTTGATTTCTCTGTCAAATATGAAACTTAGTTTAACAGGATACAGGATCCTGGGCTGAAAATTTTTTTTATTTCAGGTTAAAGGTAGATGACCACTGTCTTCTGGCTTGAAAAATTTCAGTTTAAAAGTCCACTGTCACCTTGATAATTTTTTCGCCTGTGTGTAAAAAGTTGCTTACTCCTGGCTGCTTGTAGAATTTTCTCTTTCATTTTGACCTTGGTCAAATTAATTACAATGTGTCTAAGATATGTTTTGTTTGAATTAAGTCATGCTAGGTTTCTGAAACTATCTACTATCTGAATTTCTGGGTCTCTCACAATGCTTGGAAAATTCTCTACCATGCTGACTTGAATTTCACTCCCCGAGGGCAGTGGTGAAAGCAGCAGTACCTGGTGAGAGCACGGGTCTTAGGATATCACTAGGACCTAGATGGGCTGTAATGACACACATGAGATTAATTTCAGTGTTTTAAGTGGTCCAAAAACTATCTCAAGAAATCAGTGAAATTAAAGAGAAATTCGTGAAGAAAATTAAAGTGAAATTACTCATGCACCAGGTACTGCTGCTTTCACCACTGCCCTCAGGGAGTGAAACATCTTTCCATTTGTTACATTCCCTGCCAACTGTATCAAATATAAGATTGTAACTTAATTGTTTGTACCCTCATATTAATCTGAATTTTAAAAAAAGCACAAAGTTTTCATACTTTTAGAACTCTTTCCTGTTCCTTTAGGGATCCCTATGATTCAAATATTTATGCATTTGGTATAGTCCCATATGTCTCTCAGAGAAAGCTCCGATTTTATCCTTTTTTTTTTCTGTCTTTGTGAATGACGGGGTTAATTCAAAAGCTTTGTCTTCTATTTCTGAGATTCCTTCTTCTCTATGTTCTACTCTATTGCCGAGATTGTCTACTCTGCTTTGAACCTCTTTGAATGCCTCTTTCAATTATTTAGGCTCTGCTATATCCTTCCTAATTATGTCCAGATACTTGGTGACTTTCTCTTTAATTTCACTGATTTCTTGAGACAGTTTGTGGACCACTTAAAACACTGAAATTAATTTCATGTGTGTCATTACAGCCCGTCTAGGTCCTAGTGATATCCTAAGACCCGTGCTTTCACCAGGTACTAGTGCTTTCACCACTGCCCTCAGAGAGTGAAACATCCTTCCAGTGTAAGAATAGGGTTGAAGCCTATTTTGTATTTGACTTATCAGCAGCAAGAAACAGATCAAAAGGGAAGAATGCCAATTGGGGATACAAAAAGGAAAAGAAAGAAGAAACATTACAGTATTTACTCTGAACTGACATCACCACCCTTAAGCATAGTTATATCATGAACTTGAATGAACACTAATAAACAAACTGCATTGGAGGAATCTTTACCCTTTTAGTTAAAAAAAAAAAGTTCTTCATATCTTCTTATTCACCATAATAAGGTACAAGTACACAAATACATACTCAAAAAACTACAACAGCACGTGCATTTAATTAACATGGTGTATGTCATACTCCGGTTATGGATGAAATATAAAAATTGAGTTTCCTATATGAGTTAAAGCCTTATTTACTAGATCATGAACAGGATGCTGTAGAAAAAGTATCTCTGGCTCTGAAAATGAGCTTCTCTTAATTAAGATCAGTTGTACAAAAATTTCTTGCCCCTTTAATAAGAGGGGAGGGAGTTGGTGCACACAGGAAGGAAGAAAGAGAAAAACAGCATAAAGAGAAATATCTCAGGTTAGAAAGAGAAGAAAAGCCAGGCCCAGTTAATTTTTTTCTGAGGATGCCTTTGTGTCACCTGAAGTACTGCCAGCGGTGTTCATTCTGGTCCTCTTCGGAGGGCTCCTCGACGCCAACTCTGGGCAGCAGAAGAAGGGAACATGAGTGTGTGGGGACAAAAGGGGAACCAAGAGCTCTAGGCATGTGACCTAGACCATGTCCATGAAAGACTGAGCCATCTCACTTTCAATATAAACTTCCAATATCAGTCGTACTTTTCTTAAACTATCCCCATATTCTCAAACCCTAAGAGGCAGAGGTTGCTAAATTTAAATTTAAAGCAATAATGTTAGGAGCCAGGTGAAATAAGGAATGGATTAGGAATGAAACTAAGCCTCTCAAAATACAATGTAATGAAATCAGAGGAATAAATGTACCTCGCAGACAATTGATTTATATGATTTTTCAGGAATCCATCATAAAGCAAGATACCATTATATATAAAAAAACAGAAAACAGAAAGTTAATTGTTACTAAACACATATAAGGGTTTGCATGTTTTTATACATACTTGACAGAAAGAGCAAAAGGCACTGTTACTGAAAAACAGCAACAATACTTGAGGAAGACCAAAATGGCCCCTTTTTTCTAAAGAAACAAACCACATTGTCCACAGATCAGTCTAAAGGGAACCCAACCTCTCCTATTTTCTTTACTTATGGCCTTGGAATTGACATGGTCCACTTTAACCTTCCTTTATAATTTGTAGGTTATTCAGAGGGCATCAGAACTTCATCATTGTGTTTGAGCAGGGTTTCATAAACTTGGCACTATTGATATTTTGAACCAGATAATTCTCTGTTGTGAGAAGCCATCCAATGCACTATAGCATGTTGAGCAGCAATCCTGAGTTCTACCACCCACAAGATACCAGTAGCAATCCCTCCATCTGGCTATGACAACTAACAATGTCTCCAGATACTGCCAAATGTCCCCAGGTGTGTGTGGGGGATTGCCAGTTGAGAACCACTGCACTGAATTATATATTCTCAATGGAGGTGACCATGGGTATGGAAATTGGGTCTTGTCAAACATAAAAATCCTCGTTCATATTACAATGATTTGTAGCCCTCCAGTAGTCATAGCACATAAATAAATACGTAGCAGATTGATGGGTATTAAAACTTCACTGGGGCAGTTAATCGGGAAAAGAAATTTTAAAGGCTCCTTAGGAGAGTAATGATGAAAAAAAGTTGAGAAACACTGTTCTAGACAATGCCCAAATTCTGATAATACTAATATCTCCTGAAATATGCAAGTGAGAACATGATATTTCTTAAGATGACATTTTAAACTAGTTACATATTCAGAATATGACTTAAACGATTTTCTCCATATTCTTATAGTATTGAGAAATTATAACAAATACTAGGAAAACAAGCTAGATTCTTTTTTTTTTTTTTTGAGACAGAGCCTCAAGTTGTCACCCTGGGTAGAGTGCCGTGGCATCACAGCTCACAGCAACCTCCAATGCCTGGGCTTAAGTGATTCTCTTGCCTCAGCTTCCCAAATAGCTGGGACTACAGGCACCCACCACAACACTCAGCTATTTTTTGGTTGTAATTGTCATTGCTGTTTGGCAGGCCCAGGTTGGATTTGAACTCATCACCTCTGATGTATGTGGCTGACGCTTAATCTGCTTGAGCTACCGGCGCTGAGCCAACAAGCTGGATTCTTTTAATGTAAGATTCATTGTCTCTGGAGTAATAGTAATAACAGTAATATTACTAGCAATAAATAGCCAAAATATACTAAGTGGTTACCATGTGTCACATGGTACAATAAGAGACTTCTTCATCATTTTTTTTCTCTCAGTAAGATCTGTCTTACCGACTTAAACTCTCAGGGGCTTTTCCAAAAGTAAAATGGGAGCTGTTCCTAAAATAGCTTCATTCTCCAGTTAGGGAATTCTAGATCTCATCTGTGACTTGCCATTTATTCAAATAGAGAGAAGAGAGACTCTCAACTCTTAGTGCTTCCTTTAGAACAATGGTCGAATTCATGGACTATGCTTCAGGTCAGCATGGGAATATTATTTATCTGTGCCAGAGGAAGATGGGGCAACCCATGTCTATCGTTATCATAGATGGAAGTCAGCGCTCCACACATACTCAGACATAGGAACAAGTCAGAGAAAACACATCCCTCGGTCCTGGAGGCATCTATCGAATACCAGAGCACACTCTAGAGGCATTGCAGCCTACCCAGAACATCTCTAAGGACCTCTACATAGAAGTACATCCAGGGACCTATTCTGTCACAGTGGGCGCAAGTGACTTAACCAAGAAGACTCGTGTGGTAGCAGTTGATTCTGGACAAAGTGTGGACTTGCTTTTCCCTGTTTGATGTTGACCGTCACTGCCATCACATCACCTTTTTATAAGTAGTAAAAAGAATAAAGCCACTTTATTATTCTCTTAATAGCTGTACATTAATCCTGCTTTTAGTACTAACTATGTCAGCCATCCTGGGAACTGGTGTCTCTTTCAGTGCTGATTTTTACTTGACAGAATGCAAGTACCCCATCCTCATTTTCCTGAAAGAAATAATGATGCTGTCTGAACAGTTTTTATTGCTTGCATTCCAAGTAAGTATCAATAATGATAATAAAGGGAGAAATTTAGAAACATAAAAAAAAAAAATGACTTCTTCATCACATTTATAATCACATTTTATCCTCACACTATGATTGTCTCCATTTAATTGGTGAGGAAACTGAGGGTTAGAGGAGAAATAAGTCTCTTAAGGTTACAAAGTAGAAGTAGAAGTAGTGGAGCCAAGATTCCAACTCAGGCTGTTAAACCCTGGAGCCCCAGCCCCTCATCTTACAGGATACTACCTTTGATTATAAGGTGGCATCTTCAAACTTCTTTTCAACAGCCAGTTACAAATGCTATTACATAAAGAGCTCAGGGCTTTTCCCTGCCTTTATCTTGCAATAAGCTTTATTTTAAATTCTCAGTCTAACAAGATTACACTAAGTAGAGCATTCTTACTTGTCCTTGAATGATTATATTACTGCGCTCTGAAGTGTGAACGTTATTGGTTTGTTCGGTCACCTGGATGTGTGCCATTCTACTGTGCCCTACTCCATATCATCACCACTTCATGTGTGTGTCATTTGAAGCTAGGGGCTCCAAAAGGACAGCCAGCATGCTGCCATAATGTGCTCAGAATATCTAAGAGGCTCGTCAGCCTAAATAGTCCCATGATCATTTTTTAAGTTGCCAAAATTATGTCCTTTGTGAATAATAATACTTACTTATTATTATTAAGTGACTAATAAATAAGAGACTAAAAATAATATTATGTAGTTTGTGCATTAACAGAAAGTTATTTGCAGATTTTGCCATTATGTTTTAAAATACCAATCACAAAATGCCAATTTTAAAAGATAAATGGGATTTATGGAGAGCTGTGACCTGGCTTTGCAGTCATAGTTATATTCATTTTTATACACAGACTTGAAATTAACCACTGTTAACAATCATAGCTAACTCTTTTTTTATTAGATAATAAGTGTACATTACTGTATTTATGAGGTATAATGTGCTGATTTTATATACAATTTGGAATGTTTACATCAAACTGGTTAACATAGCCTTCACCTCACTTATTTAATTGTTGTATTTAGACATTTGTACTCTACTTTTAATATATTTGACATGTACTCTTAATTTTTTATAAGTGAACTCTAAGACCCACCCTGGGCTCCTGACTTCTGAGAAGCTACTTAACAGCTCATTAAGGCCTCTATCCATAGCCCAGGGGTCAAAATACCATACCGAACTTCAGGGAATTTCTGAATCAATTTAGAATAACGGCTTGGGTTACAGAAGTGATTCATGGCCATTAAGTAACACAATAAGCCACAAGCCAGAAAAATATGTCTCATCGGCTCGGCGCCTATAGCTCAACTGGCTAAGGCGCCAGCCACGTACACCTAAGGTGGCGGGTTCGAATCCCCAGCCCGGACCCGCCAACACAACAATGACGGCTGCAACCAAAAAATAGCCGGGCGTTGTGGCGGGCGCCTGTGGTCCCAGCTACTTGGGAGGCGGAGGCAGGAGACTCGCTTGAGCCCAGGAGTTGGAGGTTGCTGTGAGCTGTAATGCCATGGCACTCTACCCAGGGGGACAGCTTGAGGCTCTGTCTCAAAAAAAAAAAAAAATATGTCTCATCACTGGGAATTTCTTTTGATGTAATCTCTGTAAATATCAGTTTGTATGCTTATGTAATTATTTACATACCAGCACATCTGGGAAAATGCAATGAACTAACCCCATACGTATTTTTCAACAATGGTATACTTTGCTTCACTGTGCTGTCTGGGTAGAGTCGGGCAGAAGGAAGGAAATAATAAAGATATTATTTCCTTCAATTAAAAAATCAATTAAAGAAATCAGAAAAACCATACCAAAAAAATCAATGAAATAAATAGCTAGGTCTTTGAAAAGGTCAATAAAATTGACAAATGTCTAGCAAGATAGATCGCAAAAACAGAAGGTTCATAGTGTCAGGAATAAAATAACAGAAAACATCAGGAATAAAATAGGGGAAATCACTATACATGCCATAAACATTAAAAGGATAATAAGAGAATGCTAGGAACTTGACAATTTAGAAGAAACTGACCAATTTCACAAACTACCACAAGTTAGCGAATATGAACTAGATAATCTGAATAGACCTATAACTGTTAAAGAAATTTGCTACATAATTTGAGAACTTCTAAAAAAGAAGTTACCAGTCCCAGACCCAGTCCCAGTTTCACTGGAGAATTTTACCCAATGGTTCAAGAAAAGAATTAACACCAATTCTACACAATCTTGTCAAGAAAACAGAAGAGTTGGGGACATATCCCAGCTCGTTTTATAAGGCCAGATTACCCGGATGCCAAAAACAAAGGCAGTACCAAAAAAAGAACTACAGACCAATACTTCTCTTTTATGTTTATGAACATAAACATAAAAATCCTAACAAAATATTTCCTCATAGAAATCAGCAATGCTTTAAAGAATAATACAGCACAACCAAGTGAGGTTTATTTCAAAGAAGCAAAACTGATTCCATATTTAAAAATCAATCGATGTAATCTACTATATTAATAGGCTAAATAAGAAAAAAATCATATGATCGCATCAGTTGACACAGCATATTTGATAAAATTCAACACTTGCTTATGACAAAAACTTGGAAAATGAGCAATAGAAATTTCCTCAACTTGATGATGAACATCTATAAAACACGTACATCTAATATTTTTTTTTGAGACAGAGTCTCACTATGCTGCCCTCAGTAGAGTGCCATAGCGTCACAGCTCACAGCAACCTCAAACCCTTGGGCTTAAGTAATTCTCTTGCCTCAGCCTCCCAAGTAGCTGACTATAGGTGCCCGCCACAACACCCAACTATTTTTTGTTGCAGTTGTCATTGTTACTTACCTGGCCAAGTCTGGGTTCAAACCTGCCATCTTCAGTGTATGTGGCTGGCGCCATAACCACTGTACTACAGGCAGCAAGCCACCTACATCTAATATTACATTTAACAGTGAAAGACTGAGTGCTTTCCTCTTAAAATTGGGAACAAGGTAAGGATGTCCATTCATACCACTCTTATTCAACATAGTACTAAAAGTCCTAACAAGAGCAATAAGGCAAGATAAGAAAATAAAAGTTATTTTGGTTGGAATGGAAGAAATACCACTATCTCTATCTGCAAATGACGTGATATAGAAAATCCCAAAGGACCTACAAAAAAAAAAAAAAAAAGAACTGCCAGAAACCCTCCTAGAACTAGTAAGTAAGTTCCGTAAGGTGATAGGATATAAAATCTAAAAAAAAATTGTGCAGGCCTTGTATGCTAAAAACTTTAAAATACTGATGAAAGAAATTAAGAATAGTCTAAATAAAGAAAGAAATATACCGTATTCATGGATTGGAAGACTCAACATAATAACAATTTTGGTCTTCCCCACAATTGGTATATATGTTTAATGTAATTCCCATGAAAGTTCTAGAATGATTTTTATATAGATAAGCTTATTCTAAAATGTATGTGGAAAGGAAGTGGAATTGTAATTGCTGCCACAATTTTAAAAATGAAGATTAAAGTGGGAGGAACCATTCTACCTGATGCTAAGGTTTACCATGTAAATGTAGTTATCAAGATAGTATGATATTAGTGGAGAGATAGTTACATAAATCAATAGAACAGCACAGGAACAGATTCCCATATATATACACAACTGAATTTTTGACAAAAGAGCAAAGTAATTGAATAAAGTAGGGACAGTCTTTTTAATATATCATGCTGGAACAACTCGATAGTCATAGGTAAATAAAATAAAATCTTAAATATCACACTTATATAAAAATTAACTTAAAATGGATCATAGATTTAAATGTAAAGTGTAAAACTAAAAAATATTTAGAAGATAAGCCAGAAGAAAATCATCAGGACCCAGGGCTTGGTGAAGAGTCCTTAGATATGACACCAAATGCGTGATCCGTAAAAGAAAAAAAAAGCAGATTATACTTCATCAAAAATATAACTTCTGCTCTATGAAAGACTTGATTAAAAGATAAACTACAGAGTAGTTGAACATATTTATAAACCATGTATCTGACAAAAGACTAGTATCTAAAGAACTCTTAAAATTAATTTAAACATTGGGCATGGTGGCTTGCTCCTGTAATCCTAGCACTCTAGGAGGCTGAGGTAAGAGGATCGCCCAGGAGTTTAAGGTTGCTGTGAGCTAGGCACTCTAGCCTGGACAACAGACTGAGATTCATCTCAAAAAAAAAAAAAAAAAAAAAAAAAAAACAAAAACAAAAAACTCAAATAACCCAATTAGAAAATGGACACAAGACTTCAACAGATATTTCACCAAAGAAGATATACGAATAGCAAATAAACACATGAAGTCATGTTCATCATCATTAGCCATGAGAAACATGCAAATCAATACCACAAGGAAACATCCCCACACACCTATGAGAGCAGCTGAAGTAAAAAACAGTGACAATACCAAATGCTATAGTGAGAATGATAAATGATATAGCCACTCTGGAACACTATTTGGCAGAGTTTTATAAAACAAAACTGTCCAAACCAGAAGGCACACTCCTAGGCATTTATCTCAGACACATGAAAACTTTTGTCTGCAAGAAAAAAATTAAATAACCTACACATGGGCTCGGCGCCTATAGCTCAAACGGCCAAAGCGCCAGCCACGTACACCTAAGGTGGCAGGTTCGAATCCCCAGCCCGGACCTGCCAAACAACAATGACGGCTGCAACCAAAAAAAAAATAGCCGGGCGTTGTGGCGGGCGCCTGTGGTCCCAGCTACTTGGGAGGCAGAGGCAGGAGACTCGCTTGAGCCCAGGAGTTGGAGGTTGCTGTGAGCTGTAATGTCATAGCACTCTACCCAGGGGGACAGCTTGAGGCTCTGTCTCAAAAAAACAAAAAAAAACAAAAAAAACCTACACATGAATATTCACAGCAGCTTTATTTATATTAACTCCAAACTAGAAACCACCCAAATGTTCTTCAAGGGGTGAATGGTTAAACAAACTCTGGTCTATCCCTGCCACAGAATATTATCACTCGGCAATAAAATGGAACAAACTAATGATACATGCAACAACCTAGATGGACTTCTAGTGTATCATGCTGAGTAGGGGAAAAAGCCAATCTTAAAATGTCATATACTGTATGATTCTATTCACATAATATTCTTGAAGTGACTTTGTCATTTCATTCATCTTTGCATTTGGTGACCCATGTTCTCAGCTCTGGGTAGGACTGTTTTAATGACCCACTTTTCAAAATGAGTTCTAAGAAGGGTCGGTCAACTCTCTACTCTCAATGGAAAACCATATGGTCCTGTATATATGTTGTGGGAAGGGTCAGAAAAAAGATGTATAAAATAGTTTGAAAAACAAACATGATTTAATCAGGCTCTGAGCATCCAGGGCACCTACTAGTTGACTAGACATATACAAGCAGGAAATAATCTCAGGAGCCATTGAATGCAAGGATTTTCAACTGTGTACAGGGTAAACCTCTTTTCTTAACCTTGTTCTGCTACACAGAACAAAGATGGTATCATCTTATGTCTGAAGTTTAAAGCCAAGAGACTATAAATCTTCTTTTTCAGGTTTATATTCCCAAGGATAGATTATTTTCCTTAATTCAACTCTTGAGATTCATGCCAGGAAGTTTAAATTCTAACCATTCCAGATTTTATGACACTAAGTCTTTAACATAGTAACCCTTCTTATAGGTGGTGTAGCACAGTAGTTAAGAGTGTGGACTCTGTGATATGACTGCTTTGGTTCAAATCCAAGCTCATCCACTGAAAGCTTTGTGACCTTGAACAAGTTATTGTTCTTTTTTTTTTTTTTTTTTGAGACAGAGCCTCAAGCTGTCCCCCTGGGTAAAGTGCCATGGCATCACAGCTCACAGCAACCTCTGACTCCTGGGCTCAAGCGAGTCTCCTGCCTCAGCCTCCCAAGTAGCTGGGACCACAGACGCCCACCACAACGCCCAGCAATTTTTTGGTTGCAGCCATCATTGTTGTTTTGGCGGGCCTGGGATGGTTTCGAACCCGCCACCTTAGGTGTATGTGGCTGGCGCCTTAGCCACTTGAGCCACAGGCGCCGAGCCCAAGTTATTGTTCTATGCCTAAGTTTCCCCAACCCTAAAACAGAGATAATAGTATTATCTCCCTTAAAGGAATGTTATGAGAATTATCTTAATATATACATGACATCGTGAACAACTCCTGCAATCCAAGTGTTAGTTATTACTATGACTGTCACCAATAAGCCCCACATAGGTTTTGCAGACCCACTTGGATCTCAGACTGAGACATGCTGACAAGGAATTCCTCCCTACAGAAGCCCCAGATGGAAGAGACGATTCTCTCCAATTCTAGTCCCCCCCAATTCCAAAGATGACTGGGAGGTCGTTATTTGTTTTCTCTCCTCCAAGCCGTGTATACTCTGCAAGTGTCTCATGCATTCTATAATACGTTCTAGAGAAGGGAATACAAACTAAAAACCAATAGAGAAAGAAAAAAAAACATTGCCACCTTGTGGCTTTTCAGAGAATTATTCTTTTCACCTTTTCACTATGTAAGTGTCTTATTCCTGATTAGTTACCATTTACAAACCCAAAACTGTGGCAGGTGGCCAGGGCATCCTCAGTGATGCACAGTACAACGTTCAGAGTGAAGGGCCTTTGAGATAATCTGGCAGAACATCTTCATTTAATCCTGGGAAAATTGAGACCCAAAGACATGAGAGGTTTGTTTTAAATCCAAGCCAGAGTTGGGCTACGGGTCTCTTGAACCCTGATCCAATGACCTTTTACCATAAGGTGCTGGAGTTCACACACAGTTCAGAATTCAAATGCCTTTTTAAAAAAATCTAACTCAGGTCAGTGTCCCTCAGTCCTGACCCAGCTGCAAAACCACAGGCAGGAGATATCTATGAGACTGCAACAGATGAAGGTTACACAGGAAATGTCACCTCTTTTGTGCATCCAAGCATTAAAAGACTCAGCATACAGCTGCATGCTAAAACAAAACTCTAAATGCCTTTTTATTTCTGGCTGATGTGCTTATTCTTCAGGCTCTGGCTGGGCTCAAGGTCTACTGTCTCTCCTGCAGCTTTAAGACTTTTTGAATTCTTGCCCTATTGTCACTGCTGTTCAAAGATCCAGATATTACTAATTCCTTGTGTATTGAGACAAAAAATGTTAATGTCATTTTCTTCTAGAAAATCCAATACTCCAAACTTTATTTACTGTACTTTTGGTTTTTTAAATTTAAGCCCACCCTCAAAAGATCCGTAGAAAGCTTCCATGAACTAAGCTGCAGTACATCCTGCATGGGCATATTGAACGTTCTCAATAACGGGAACTAGAGACATATTTAGCTGTGAAATTAGCCTTGGTTCCAAACCGACCTTATATTAAGCCAGGACAACATGGGCGTCGTGCCTCCTCCAATGACCCAGACAGTGAAGAAGACGATGAGGAGTGTGGTGGTGAACATCATCTGGCGAGCATAGGATGCGGTGTCCCGGATGGCCAAAGCAAAAGCCATCGCTCCCCTGAGGCCTGCAGGTAGCAAAAAGGAAAATCTCTTGGTTATAAGGATGAATGACAAGGTCTCCTCAAAACCCACTGCTGCCACTCGGGGCTAATAAACTGTCCATCCATGCTTCATGGACCAAATTGTTTTACTCAGAAAGAAGAACCTTAATAGTGTATAATTCTCTTCTATTTGTGGCTGTCTTTTGCAAAATTCCCAAATATAATGAGAAAAACATTTCAATGCTTTGTACAGCACATTTTAGAATAACACTCTTTTATAACTGAAATTATTCTTATTAGTTACATGAAGTAAAAAGAAATATAAGTAACTAATAACATAAGCTCTCTAAGTCTATAATCCAAACACTACTCAAGCACTATACTGTCAACATAAACTTAAAAAAAAACAGGCTAGGTATGAATATGACAAATTAGTGGGAAATAGCTCAACACTTCCATAGCAAAGGTGGAAGCCACAAAGGAAAGTAAAAACACTGCATTAGGGGTTGGGGATTCTTTCTGTAAAGGGCTAAATATTAAATATGTCAGCATTTGTGAGCCAAGAGGCAAAATCAAGGATATTAGTGGATACTTAAATAAAAGCAAGAAAAAAATTTTGCATATATTTTTATTGACAAAAATCAAGAACATAAGAACACTAATAATAACTAATTGCACTTGGTTGTAATACAGGTCTACTAATAAAAAGAGGGGAAATCTTATTGAAGGGGATATCTTGCTTAACTGCGGTTCAAAGTGAGTGTTCCTTATTACTTAATGGATTGCAAATATGCATGTGGAAAAGGCATTTTTAGCTCGCTGTGCATATAAAGATAGGAAGTGGCCAGATTTGGCTCAGAGGTTATAGTCTGCTGATCCTTGATCTACATTAACGGGGTTTAGACTGTTCTTCCCCAATACCATGCTCATAATTCGTTTTAAAGTAAATATTGAATCTACAATCAGTCTTTAGTACGTATCTGGTATAAATTTCCATTCACCATGAGCAAGACCGTGTCCATATCATGTGAGAAAATCAAGTTAGACCTCTATCATTTGTACATTTCCCACCTTTCCTAGTAATTTCACAGTTATCACTATTATTATTATTTTGAGATAGAGTCTTACTCTGTTGCTGTGGGTACAGTGCAGTGGCATCTTAGCTCACTATAACCTCAAACTTCTGGGCTCAAGTAATCCTCTTGCCTCAGTCTCCTGAGTAGCTGAGACTACAGGCAACTGCCACAATGCATGGCTAATTTTTCTACTTTTAGGAGAGATAGCTAATTTTTTCATTTTCAGGAGAGACAGGGTCTTGTTCTTGCTCAGGCTGGTCTTGAACTCCTGACTTCAAGTGATCTGCCTGCCTTGGCCTCCTAGAGCACTAGGATTTACAGGTGTGAGCCACCATGCCCAGCCGCCAATTTCATAATCGTTAATATACGTACTCTAAGAGCTTCACTACAATTCACTAAAGAAGAGTGACTCAATAAAAATCACATAAAAAACAGCAAATCTAATGTTTTGTACTAATCTGTCCTAATGAAATAATTTATACACACCTGGGGTACTACTCTATAGCCAATAAGCTATTTCATCAGTCAATATTTAAGCCTCTAAAATAATGCTACCTTAAAGAAGAAAATTGAGGGTCAGAGACAGATAATGTATGAGACATTTTTCATTTCATTAGGTAAACATGGTAAGCAATATGAAAGCAAAACCTTAGGGATTCCATAGCATTAAAGAATGACTTCCCTTTGATAGCCAGATTTCTCCCATTATAAAATAATTTTATGGAAGACATCATTTAACAGCAGTGGGTACTCAGACTTTTATTAATAGTACAGAATCTGATTTTAAGTCATCCTAGGTGACACAGTTAGCCCCAACTTAATCTTTCTCTTGTCCACCAGTATTTTCCTAATACAGATATAAAAGCTTCTCATTGCTTTCCTCATCAAACTCTAAATATGTCCTTGCTACTCTTGAGTAAAGCCCAAGCTCTGGCATAACGCTGGAACCTCTCTGTGGTCTCCATTCTATGGCAGTGGTTCTCAAAGTACATATGGTCTTTAAATCAGCAGCAGAAACAGCTGAAAATGTGTTAGAAATGTAAATTCCTGGAGCTCACACATCCCCAGAGTCAGGCACCCTCCTCGTGCAGGCCCAGCCAATCTGCGGTTTAACAAGCCCAACAGGTAATTCTGGTGCAACTTAAAGGGTGAAAATTATGAGTTTAGGTGCAATTCTCCTTTGCTACCTCACTCTCTTTCTGTATTACTCCACCCGTCTGACATTTAAATCAGACTGTTACCCTGCCCTAATAAGCCACACATGGCAGGGTTCTCTGCCTCTCCAGCCTGCTGCCTCCTGAAATTCCATGACCTCACACCCAATGTGAAGGCTATCCCCTTTGTGAAGACAGTCCTGAACCATCCTCTTTTGCCCACCTTCCTTCATACCTCTTTTGTGCAATTCAGCATCATTTCCTGGGAGAAAGTGAGCTCTGTGTGCATCTGTCTGCCCCCCTCCCCGGGGATATGAGCTCAGTGGAGGTCTTCATACCCTCTACAACCTAGGACTGTGGCTTATTATCAAAAGAAGATGCCGAATACATTCTCACTAGAGTGAAAGGAAGTCATCTGGGCAGGCTGCACCTATATCTAAGTTCAGGTACAAGTTAGCATGAGACAAACACTGCTTTACCGAGCAATGACTGTTAGTCTAATTTCAGTATGACTCTGTGAGGCCTCCAAGAACTTACTGAGTGGCAGTAAGAGGTGGCTTCTACTCTCTCTGCCCTCTTCTACAGCCCCTCCCTCTCCCCCACTTAGGAAAGAAGTGTCTTTAAGGGTCACAGTGCTGCCTGAAATATGTCCTCCCTCAGATCTGCAGAGATGCTCTAACTTTGGTCTCCTTTATACCACCCTCGCTGCATCATGCCAAGTGCTCTCTCCTTTCTTTATATCTTTTTAAAATTGCCCTTTGTCCCCTCAGTGGCTTCTACAGACCTCTCAGCTTATCAGTGAAAAGTTGGGGGGTGTGGGAGACAGTGTAAACTCCGGGGGGGACTATCACAGCTGTTAAATCCCAGATTTGGGTTGCTCTTGCTTATGTGAGTGCCTTTTAGTTCTTCTGCTTCATAGAAAGTTAAAGCCAGGGGACCTTAACTAATTAGCTCAATTCCATTATTTTACAAGTGAGGATATTGCAGCTGGGAGATATTGAGTCACCTGGTCCATGTTCTTTCTCATCAAGAACTATTTTCCTTCTAATTTCAGACCTAGATCCCTTCTGAAAGCCTAAAGGTTATGAACATCTACTACAGAACAAGCAAGCACTTTAAGTACTGACATATCTCCAGGTCCCTGGGGCTGCAGAAATGAATTAGACGTGCATTTTAGGGGAGACTGTTCACATGTGGTAGTGTGGTTTACAAAATCAATACTAACTCCATGGAACATGTACATCTGTCTAACTCAGCACTGCAGAGGATACAAATGAACCAGGAACTTGAATGCCTGTCTTTTAATGAGTCTTATCTTTTTTATTTCAAATTAATATGAGAGTATGAATGTTTAGGTTACGTTACTTTCATTTCTAAGGTAAAGTTTAAGTTGTAGCTGAGCCCTTCACCCACGGGGCATGCTGAACACCCTCACTGCTGAATACTCTCACAATTATATTTTAATCATACTACCATTACCTGCTAAATTGAACTCATTTTCTTTAGACTTATACTTTTTTTTTTTACCTGAAAACATCATCATGTGTTGAAAGTTCCAGCCAATCTTATGTCTTCTGCCCAAGTTGAGGAAGAAGGAGAGCGGGTAGATATGCGCGGCTCTGCCCAGGAAGATGGCAACCTGGCCACCAGGTGGAGGTTAAGGGACCAACAGTTTTCCAGAATAGCACTTTCACACAACCTCTGGCTGAACAGAGAATTTTAGGAATGCCCATGACACGTGCTACGGTCCAGAGAACTCTCTAAAGAAGCCTAGATGTCTAGTTTCCCTCTCGACCTGTCACTCAGCAACAAAATGGGGGTCATCTGGCCAACTGTCCCCACCTCCTGGTTCACAGAGATCATTTTCAGCCTGTTAAACACACCATTGGAAGTTCTTTTTTTCTTCTTTTTATTAAGTCATATACACATAGATCATGACATTGGAAGTTCTTGATTTTCATTCAACTGCTATTGACCAATTCCCCAATCTATCTAAAAATGAGTCCAGAAATAAGCAAAAGCATCGTGGCAGGAGTGGGGCGTTGAGAGTAGCAAACTGTTTTGGGCTTTACTGGCAGAAAAATCATAAGAAGAAAAAAATGACTAACCCTAGAGTCAAACTTTAAAGAGCAAGTTGGCTAGTTAAGTGTTCACCAGCTTCACTTGCAAGTAAACATCAGGGGCCCTAATGACCTGGGAAAGACTGCACATAAGGGGTGGGGAAACTGAAAGTATTCATAACATGAAGAGAAATTCAGATCACTCACAAGAATCACTCAACCTGGGGGTCAGACACGGTGGCTCACGCCTATAATCATAGCACTCTGGGAGGCTGAGGCAGGTAGATTGCTTGAGCTCAGGAGTTCAAGACCAGTCTGAGCAAGAGTGATACACCATTTCTACTAAAAATATAAAAAGTAGCCTGGCATTGTGGGGGGGGCACCTGTAGTCCCAGCTACTCAGGAGGCTGAGGCAAGAGGATCAATGAAGCCCAAGAGTTTGAGGTTGCTCTGAGCTATGACACCATGGCACTCTACTGAGGGCAACAGAGTGAGACTCTGTCTCAAAAACAAAACAAAACAAAACAAACACACAAACACATAAAAACAAGAATCAACCTGGGGAGATTTCTCTACTTAAGTGGCTAAAATGTCTTTTAGAGATATTAAAAATGGAAAAAGAGTGTGGAAAAGGAACTCTACTGTGCCAAAGAATTCAGGGAAACTGGCCCTTTGTCACTTGCTGAGTTTAGAACAGTGCCCAACAGAGAGAGCTTCACATTCCCCTGGTCAGAGAAGGAAACCCCCACGGGAGGCCAAAGGAACAGGGAGCTTCCGTTTTGGCAAAGCACCAGCTGCAGCAACTGCAGCTGTTTCAGACAGAAGGCAGGGCGGAACTATCTTCTCTGCCTCCTGCAGGGTAAAGCATTGCCTGTTTTTCTTTTTTTTTTTTTTCTCTTTCTTTTTGTTTTGTTTTGAACAGAAAGAACTAGGTAGTGCTTATAAAGGACATTCTATCCCAGAAGCAAAGCAAAAGTCTTTAAGTGGTAAGAAGCCTTTAGGATTCACAGAGGACCCAGCTCACCCTCTGCCAGGCCCTCATCTGTAAACCAGGGCTGTGCTCTCACTATCTCTCTTGGGTGCCATGCTAGGAATACAAATCAAAACAACATTCAAGGTCTTTCTTAATGAAGAATAAAAACATTGATCCTGCAGATGTTTAGCTATTAAGTTTGCTAAGCATTTAAACCCCAAAATAAGCTACCAGTTTAAGCATATGACACTCTAACTAGAAGGACTCCAGTACTGCATTAGGCCACTACCACTGTTCCTCAGCTTGGTGAGTGTCAGTCATTCCTGCACAATAAATGAAAAGCCCAGAAAAGAAAAACAGCCCTTTTTGGCCAGCATTCTAAGACCTAAGGATACTCATGGGGCTTCAGAAAAGGAAAGTGAACAACCAGCAATAGGGGATTCTGCTCAGTGTCCTGAAATCAAGCCCCAGAAAATTTCACTGTAATGAAAACAATAGTTATCTGAGGCCAAGTGAGAGAAGGCCTCACCTGTTGATCCATTGCTAGGTGCTCACAGCCCTCCTCACTTGAGAGAAGTCAACACCCCAAACTTGTCTTTTTCCCCAGATACTACACTCACAATGGCTCTAAATCAAAGGACTAAGTATTTTTACATTTTATCTTTCTTCTTCTTTTTATTCATTTTTCTTTTTGGGGGGTGGGTGGGTACAGAATCTTTTCCACCATGATCTGTAGTGAGCAGCAGGGCAGCCTGGGTGAAGGCATGGTCACTGTCTGCAGGTTTCCCTGGGTGGCCAGAGGAAGGGCTTCCTATGCTGGGGGCATAGTTGATAGCCAGACAAATAGAACCTTCAAGTCATCCAAATCAGGGAACCTCCTGGATTTGAATTCATGTGGCAATGCAACATCAAAAATAATTCTGAAGATGGGGACTGAAGTGGTGGCTGACTTTTAGACTTACCAAGAAGGGCACTTTATAAAATAAACTATCATCTGCCAAGCACCAGTTTAACATAAAGGCCACCTTACACAGAAAATGCAGAGAAGATGGTCTTAGAATAAAAGAAGTCCTTTAAGTTAAATAATTTAGCTTTGTGAAACATCCCTTAAGCCTTCTTTTTCTCATTATAAACACTGTGAATTAGCACTGACCCAGTCATCTACCCCAAACAAAAACTATTCTTATTATTATTATTATAGCTTCCCTAGCAGTGGTTGCCCTTCCATGCAGAAAATGGTGGAACAAGAAAAGGATACGAAAGCGCCAATGATGAAAATGGGACTGAAAACGTGCTTCTGGAAGGTAAACAGCGCCAGGCCCATGTAGGAGAAGATGAAGTTCTCTGCCAGGAAGTGTAACACCTCAAAGAGCTATATGAAGAATAGAAAAGGAAGCTGTAAACCCTGCAATTCCCCCTTCCCTGTATTAACAGGCAACACATAAGTATCAAGGCTCTCTCACCTGCTTGGTTCGACTTCTTGATTCCACGGACAGATTGTTGTAAGTGTAATGAGCTTGTGTGATTCCACAGAAAAGAACTGCTACAACACCTGCCAAGAGATTAAAAAAAAATTACGGGGAAAAATAGCAGGAAGAAAACCCTGCTGAAACATAAAATGAAGGTAGGCAGGCCCAGCATATCCAACTTCTTATATATTTTTGAGTTTCCTATTACTGAATGCTCCCCAAGCCCCTCACCTCTCATATCAACCTTTCCATCTCCTCAACTCTGCCTTCTGTTAAAGCCAAGTCCTCCAACCTCTCCCCGTGCTCCAGTTTTAAGACCATTCTCTCCGCTCCTCTACACTTCTACTGAATTTACCATCTGTAGCTGGCATACAGTATTCATTCCCTCAAAGAGACCATGGGGGTCTATCATCCACTTTTGGCATATTCCTCTGTTTTTAGAATGAACGAATTTAATTTCAAGAATTTATATTCTGGGGCGGCCCTGCGGCTCAAAGGAGTAGGGCGCTGACCCCATATGCCAGAGGAGACAGGTTCAAACCCAGCCCCAGCCAAAAATTACCAAAAAAAAAAAAAAAAAAAAAACCCTCAAAAATGTATTAAAGTTGCTTTTTTTTAAAAAAAAAAATTATATTCTTGCATAGTTAGTCTGGGGCTTCAGACAAAAGAGATAAAGAATACTTGTCAATTTATCTAAGCCCTGATGATCTAGATTTCTGGTTAATGGTAACCATTTTGTTGTACAAGACAACTGGCATACCTGGGACTCTGCCTACATATTTACAGATAACTGTCAAGTTTTTTAAAAGTTAGATATTTTGTAATGCTTCATGTGAAGATATATTACCATATTTTGAAAAAGTGATAAATGTACATCCTAAGTACCTGGATTATATATAGTAATTGTATTAATATTTGAGTTTTTAATAGAAAAAGTCAGAGATTTTTCTAAATGAGAGAATGTGAGGAACTAAAACCTCATGATTAACCACACTAATATCAATGTTATATGAACTGGCACCATAATAACATGGTATCGAGAAATAATGATTAAATGGCCCAGAGACATGAGCAGCGCCTGTGGATCAGTGGGTGGGGTGCCGATCCCATGTACCAAGGATGGCGGGTTCAAACTCAGCCCCGGCCAAACTGCAACAAAAACACAGCTGGGCGTTGTGGCAGGTGTCTGTAGTCCCAGCTACTCGGGAGCCTAAGGCAAGAGATTGCCTAAGCCCAGGAGTTGGAGGTTGCTGTGGTATCACTCTACAAAGGGTGACATAGTAAGACTCCCTCTCTTAAAAAAAAAAAAAAAAAGTTTAAATGGCCCAGAGACAAAATAAGGAAAAACTGTGTTCATATTCATCTGAGTAGATGCAAAATTACCTTAAAAGGACACATATTTTGCTTGTTATTGCTAGTCTATGTAAAATAACAATAGCAACCAAGGGGAGGATAAAAATATGATTTTAATATATTTTGTAACCTGTGCAGCTAAACACCAACTTATAGTTAGAATGAGTACTCAAAAACATAACTGAGTTTGGAATGATATGATGAACTTTATCCTTTAAAAGTCTGTAACTTTTGGAAACTAAATGATCCATTAAGACAGAATACCAGGCTTGCTCAGCAATCCTCTTAGGACACTTGTTCAATAATTACTCAACTCCATGCAGCTTCTAAGAAGTCTTCCCTCCCTTCAGAATCTCCCACAACCCCTGTTACAGTGAAGGGAAGGGTGGCCCAAGAGGAAAGAAAACTTACCTGTAAATCCGCAGGCTTCTGCCAAGAGGAATGTGCTCCAGGACATGAGGAAGAAGAGTGCTGTCTCCAGCAGGGGGAAGCAGTGCAGCTTGGTAAACTTGGTCACGTCAGCACCTTGTCAAGGACCCTATCTCCAGGCACACGTGTCATGGCCACCAAGAACCACACCCTATTACTCCAGGACCCCGTTATAAGAGCAAGCCTTTCTCTTCAACTCTGCTATTGAGGCCCTAAAGCTGCTACAGACTTTTTTTTCAGTAACAAAATTAAGCTTTAACAGAGGTTCCTGCAGGCTGGAGGGAGGGGGAATGGGGAGAGATGGTTTGATGGATATGAGGAAAAAGTTCTGGGAATAGATAAGGCAGATGGTTACACAATATTGTGAGTGTACTTAATGCCCCTGGATTATGCATTTCATTTGATTTTATTTTATAGGTTAATGTGAGGGTACAAACAACTAGGTTATAATATTTGCATTTGTTAGGTAGAGTCCCTCTTGTAGTTGTGTCCTGCACCCAAGAGGTGTGCCATATACCTTTACAAATTGTGCCCATTAAGTGGGAGCACACCATCGATTGTGCATTTTGAAAATGGTTATATGGCAACTTTCTGTAGCTATATCTTACCACAATTTCAAAAACAATCAATATAATACAATAGAACCTCGTAAGTTGACTACTCAAGGGAATGTAACAAACTGGTCAACATACGAAGGTGGTCAACATAAGGATCTAGGCCTACTACACTGATACATACAAGTGTTGCATGTCCTGTCTAAGAAAATTAGGTTAACTTAAAGAGGTGGTCACTGTAGGGAGGTGGTCAACAATGGAGGCTCTACTGTATACCAAACACCATTGAATTGAACACTTTAAATGGGTGACTTGTACAGTATGTGAATTATGTCTAAATAAAATGATTTTTTTCAGCTTTCTAAAGAAACTGACAATTTTCTGTGCTCCCTGCAATACTCATAGTTCCGAGAGATGCAGTCACGGGCACTGGCTTGCCTGGCAGGTTAGTTCTCTCAGGGATGGGAAGATGAGGTTCATGAGACTCTGGCCCTTCTGTGCCACTGAGGCCTGAGTCCATAGGACATGCAGGCACAGGAAAGAAATGGAAGAAATGCACAACTCCTGGGGTAGCTACCAGGTGTTCGTGTCACCTTTGGGGACCAGAGATTACTAACACTGCCATTTGATAAAGGGCCAGCAAAGAACTTCTCATGAGTAGTTTGACTGAGCAATATAAGTCCCCAGGGCATCAAAAGGTTCTCTGTCAAGAATGCCATCTAAAATCTGCACTGTCTGATACGGCAGCCACTAGCCACATGTGGCTACTGAAAAACATAAAATGTGGGTGTACTGAACTGAGATATGCTACAAGAGCAAAACACACACCATATTTCAAAAACTTGGCACAAAAAAACAAATGCATACAATCTCATTAATTTTTTATATTGATTGCATGATGAAATGATGTGGCTCAAATTAACATCTGTAATGCCCACCAAAGAGGACATGAGGAAGGACTCAGCACAGCTGTGGAATGGCTACCATTTGTTTAAACTAAATATTGTGCCATCTGTCACGTACAGAAGGCCACAGTGCAGTAATTCCCACTGATGGCCCCCAGCTAGCTATGGCCACGTTTAACAGTGTGTGGCCCCGAACACCCGGCAGCAGTAGCTAGCTGGGGCTAAAATACTTCTCAGCCAGTAGTCTGTGATTCCTCTGTCTCTCCCTGGCTCCTCAAGTCTTTTTAGCCCCCCTAAAACTAAGGCCCCAACTGGTTCATAAGAAAAGGAGAGAAAAGGCAAAGGTGAAGACAGAGCAAGGGTTTTTCACCAAAGGGACACATTGAAGGAGTTACCCCACCTCAGTGGAACAATCAGTTTGTTATTCTGATCTGAAAGGGAGAACTGAGAACTTTCTTTTGAAAGCGTAATGCCACATGCATCACCAGGCAGAGGCAGAAACTACAAAAAGGATATTAGTGCAGTCACAACACCAGTCACAGCTCCCATAGTAAAAGAGCCACTAAATATACCTAGAAAAATTCCAACTGACTTAAAAAAGGCAGCAGCATCAAAGGCATGAGTGTTCAGTACAGCCGGCTGGTAGGCAACGATAGACCTAGAGTTTAAAAAGAAAAGAGAGTTTTAAAAGCCCACGTGGGTTTTATACCATGGTGCCTGAAATATTGACAAACAAAGGCATCTACACTCTGCTAAGTGCTGCTGAGCAGAGAAAACAACACAACTTCATCAACAAAGCTGGTAAATCTCATTTAGAAAAATGCCCGATTCAATATTTAACACTTTTAAGGCAGGCCTCTGAATATTTAGCCTAAACTTTAGGCCCTAAAACATCCAAGAAACCAGGGTCTCTCTTCCTCAGCAGAAACACGCTACTTACGAGGACAGTACAATGGCAACGGCATCATTTAGGACACTCTCTCCAAACAGAAGTGCATAAAGATCCACATCTGCATGCAACTCGTTAAATATCGCCAGCACAGTCACTAAAAAGTGGACCAAAAGCACAGAAATTAGTTTTGGTTTCTGACCTTTAACCACTGATCACAGATTTACAGAGGCAATGCCTAGCTCGGGGTGGGATCACGTGATTCGGGAGCTAGCAAGGGGGTCAAACACAGACTGTGTATGGCTGAAATGAAAACAGCAATCTCTAATCCGAACGAGGCTTGATGTGATGCTTGTCTAATGACACTCCATCAAAACACCATGCTTTTCACTGTGATCCCACCACACTTTGAAAACACCTGTTACAGAACTTAAAAAGAAAATCACAAACAATGTGATTTGGCTTCACCAGTGGGTTGGAATCTCCTGGAAGGCCTGTTTTACTGACCACTGTGATCCCAGAACCCAGCATTGTCAGGACACAGAGAAGACTTTAATAAACATCTGAGAAATAACAAGAGTCTTCATTTATAACAGGCTATACGAAATAATACTCCTAGTTTTCACATTTCTCAGGCATTTAAAAATCAACTATTCTCTGAATCAGCAGCTCTCAAACTTTTGGCCTCAGCACCCCTTTAAATTCTTTTTTTTTTTGAGACAGAGCCTCAAGCTGTCCCCCTGGGTAGAGTGCCGTGGCATTACAGCTCACAGCAACCTCCAACTCCTGGGCTCAAGCGAGTCTCCTGCCTCCGCCTCCCAAGTAGCTGGGACCACAGGCGCCCGCCACAACGCCCGGCTACTTTTTGGTTGCAGCCATCATTGTTGTTTGGCGGGTCCGGGCTGGGGATTCGAACCCGCCACCTTAGGTGTACGTGGCTGGCGCCTTAGCCTTAGCCGGTTGAGCTATAGGCGCCAAGCCTAAATTCTTAAAAATTACTGAGGCCCCCAAAGAGCCTTAACTTTTCTATTGATATTTACTTATTGAATAAAACAGAAAAATTAAATCTACATTTAAAATTAATAAGCCATCATATGTTAACATGACATATTGTAATGAAAAAAAACTCAAATTTTCCAAAACAACAATAACCAAAAAAAAAAAGCAGTGAAAATAGAGACACTGCAAATCTTCTTTAAATGTCTGGATTAATGAAAGACAGATGGTTCCCATATCGGTTTCTATATTTCAGCAACCAATAGTCAATATACATATTATATAGCCTCTAGAAAACTCCATTATACACTGGTGAGAAAATAAGTTACCAGACCCCACTTGAGAACCACTGCTCTAGAACAGGGTTTCTTAGCCTTGGATTTATTGCCATTTCAGGTCAAATAATCTCTGTGTTGTACACAGGTCACTATGAAAGTTTTGAGACAGACTGTGGTATGTACAGCCTGTTACTTCACTTCCAAGAAACACAGCCAATAGTGTTCTTTCTGATTCACCCACGCAAGATTTTTTTTTCTTTCTTTCTTTCTTTTTTTTTTTGAGAAAGTCTTACTCTCTTGCCCTGGGGTTGAGCGCCATAGTGTCATTATAGATGTCTCTAGACATTGTAACAGCAACCTCAAACTCTTGAGCTCAAACAATCCTCTTGCCTCAGCCTCCCAAGTAGATGGGACTACAGACACCTGCCACAGCACCCTGCTAATTTTTCTATTCTTAGTAGAGACATGGTCTCTCTCTCTCTTGCTCAGGCTGGTCTCAAACTCTTGACCTCAAGCATTCCTCCCCACTTGGCCTCCCGGAGTGCTAGGATTGCAGGCGTGGGCCACGGCATCCAGCCTACACACGCAAGTTTCAACTTGCTCAGCTTACTGGTATTGTTGGGAAGGTTTCAATTGTTTCCATCTGTGTGGATTTTGTGTTTCTTAATTTTTGTGTATCTCAGAACTTTTGTAGTAACCCACACACATGGAAAGGGCTGTCCTGCACATCATAAGATGCTTAGCAGCATCTCTGGCCTCTACCCAGCAGATGCCAATAGCACCTTTGACCTCAACTGTGACAACCAAAAATATCTCTGACATTGTCAAATGTTCTCAGCAGGTAGAGAGGCCACATCTGCCATGGTTGAGAACCCCTGCTCCAGATAGATATATGCAGCAGTGTTCTCTCTCAAGACTCGCACCAACTACCTTCCCTCTTGATGGTTTCTACCATAAGGACTGAAAAAGCTAAACACTCACTTTCCCAGATTCCTTTGCAGAGAACATAATGTCTCCCTGTCAGGAAGAGGGCAGAAAGTCCAGACACTCTTACTTCCACGGAGTAACTAATGTGTGACTGAAACCCAAGGGCAATGTGGTAGAAAGACTGAGTGCCCAGATGCCTGAATATACTGGGACCTGTGGCACCAGCCTGGGACTAGTACCCAAGAGAAATACCTATTTGTTTGAGCTGTAATTAACCAAGTTTTTTGATCTATACAACCCAAAGCATCACTGACACAATCAGAAAACCAAGCTAAACAAATGCTTAGTTTAGTGAATTATTGATAAGCCAACCAATCTTGTAACCACCACCTAGTTCAAGAAATGCAGCTTTACCAGCTGTCCTCAACACATCTTATCCCAATCTCAAACCCTTTCCTCCACTCAAAAGTAAACACTAACCTACATTAAGTAATCATTTCTTTTTTAATTTTATTTTATTATTTTTTTAATCTTTTCTTTTTTTTTTTTTTTTTTTGCAGTTTTTGGCCAGGGCCGGGTTTGAACCCACCACCTCTGGTATATGGGGCTAGTGCCCTACTCCTTTGAGCCACAGGCACCACCCCTAAGTAATCATTTCTTGCCTTTTTTTATAGTTTGATCACCCAAATGCATACTCCCCAGCACTATTGTTTGGTTTTGGCCCTCTTTTTTTTTTGAGACAGAGTCTCAAGCTGTCGCCCTGGGTAGAATGCTGCGGTATCTCAGCTCACAGTAACCTCAAACTCTTGGGCTTCAGCAATTGTCTTGCCTTAGCCTCCCAAGTAGCTAGAACTACAAGTGCCTGCCACAATGCCCGGCTATTTTCTTTTTTTTTTTGGTTGCAGTTGTCATTGTTGCTTAGCAGGCCTGGGATGGGTTCAAACCTGCCACCCTAGGTATATGTGGCCAGCATCCTGCCGACTGAGCTATGGGTGCTACCGGTTTTGGTCTTCTTTTTGAGATAGGGTCTTAACTCTGTCGCCTAAGCTGGGGTGACACAGCTCAATGAAGCCTCAAACTCCTGGGCGCAAGGTATCCTTCTGCCTCAGTCTCCCGAATACCTGGGACTACAGATGCATACCACTGCACCCAGTTATTTTTTCTACTTTTTGTGGAGACAGGATCTTTGTTTTTTTTGAGACAGAGTCTTACTATGTCACCCTCGGTAGAGTGCCATGGTGTCACAGCTCACAGCAACCTCTAACTCTTAGGCTTAAGCAATTCTCTTGCGTCAGCCTCCCAAGTAGCTGGGACTACAGGTACCCACCACAACCCCCAGCTAGTTTTTTTATTGTTATAGTTGTCATTGTTGTTTAGCTGGCCAGGGCCAGGTTCAAACCCACCAGCCTTGGTGTATGTGGCCAGTGCCATAGCCACTGTGCTACGGGAGCTGAGCCTAGAGACAGAATCTTGCTGTGTTGCAAAGGCCGGGCTGGAATTCCTGGCCTCAAGTGATCCTCCCACCTTGGCCTCCAAAAGTGCTAGTATTACAGGCATGAGCCACCATACCCAGCCTCACCTATCTTTTAAAACACACGTTTTATATATATGTCTGTTTACTCTACAGGCTTCTTTCCATTCCTTTCTACTGCCTCTCTTCTCATAATGCCCTATTGTTTGTTTCTCTCATTTCTGAATTTTTTACTCCTGATGCATGTTCTTTCACAACTTCTATCATTTTCTTCATTTCCTTTAGCTGCTTTTGGAATATTAATAAAGTCTCACCTTTTGGGGGCCTTATTTTTCTGGTATGAAACTGTATCTTTGTTATTCAGAAGGGTTATCCTCATATTTTTCTCACAATATAAATTTACATGAAGTTCAACCTCAATTCATTTTTGCCATAACATTTAAGTGAGGGCAGGGGCAGAAGTGGGCCCAGAAGAGCAGTTCTAGTTTCATGGCTCCAGGGTTCCCTCTTCTGGTTTTAAATTGAACTATTACAAATTTGGCCACTGGGTATAGCCACTTCCCCAGTACTTTGAAATCCACTGCCTCTAGCCCTCTCTTCCTTTAGTGCTATGTGCTGCAGGACACAGATGTGCTGAGAAAATCTTAGGTATGCCAGGAAACTTTTTAAAGATCCTTAATTAAATTATTTTCCAAAGATCAAAGCACAGTAAGTATATTCTTTTTTCACTTTCATTGTATTTTTTTTTAAATTTCAGATTAATATAAGGGTACAAATGATTAGGTTACAATGTTTGCATTTGTTTGGTAAAGTCCCTGTTGTAGTTGTGTCCCACTAATAAAAAAAAAAACCTCTTTGGAAAGAAGTATGGAGAATCCTCAAAGAACTCAGTTTTTTAAATCAACATAATTTAAGTGTGCCCTAGAAGTTTAACTGTAGGTTCAAGTATGCTGTGAGATTTAAAAAAAAAAAAAGGCTGAAAAACACTGTTCTAGAGAGATCGATGCTAGGTATTTCTGAGAGCTCGGAGGACTCAGATCACTCCCACAGCCTCTAATCTTCTCTAGTCTCGCCCACAAATCCCTCTCTCTGTTTTAAATGCTATCAGGTATCCCCGACAAAGTTCTTTACTACAAGTGGGGAGCCCTTCTTTTGAGTATGAGTACTTGTATAAAATTTCTGGGTTCCCTGATGAGCAGCCCCCTTTCCCCTGCACAGCTGCCATTCCTGAACTCAAGTCTCACTGCTGCTGCTGGGTAACGGAATGCTCTGTCAGCTAGATTTTCTTGGGTTCTTTGTTTTGTTTGGTTTGTTTATTTGTTTGTTTAGAGACAGGGTCTCACTATGTTGCCCAAGCTGGACTTGAACTCCTGGGCTCAAGCGATCCTCTCCTCAGCCTCCAGAGTAGGTAGGACTACAGGACCATGGCATGGTGCCTGGCACATCAGCTAGTTTTGTATCTGGTTTTTTCTTTTACTGTCCTCC